CATAAGCTCACCGATACGCAGCAGATCACAGAATTGATCGGTAGCATTCGGAAACTATGCAAAAGATTCGAGGAGCGCGGCCTGCCGAATTTCCCATCCGGCATACCGTTTCTCTTCTGGGAACAATACATGGATCTGAGGAGCTGCTTGGGAATCGCTCTTCTGGCCGCTTTGAGCGCAAGCATCATCATCGTTGGGGTGCTGTTGTTGAATATGTGGGCCACCCTGCTGGTCGGCATTTCCTTAGGTGCCGTCGTTCTGCAATTATTAGGCATCATGGGTCTATTTGACATCAAACTGAGTGCTGTACCTGCCGTACTGCTGGTAATCAGCGTCGGCATAGCTGTTCACTTTACGGTGCACATTTGCCTGGTAAGTGCAATTTAAAATAAATTTCTTCGTTTAGTGTTATTTTTTAAGCTTAACTTTATGCTCCTCTTTCTAATTCCTCATTTCGATCATATTGAATTATGACATCAAAAGCGAGAAATCACATGTTTTTTTTTCAAAATTCGAAAATATAACTCAACGCATTTAGACATCTTTGCGATCGTTATTTCAACGATCACATTAGTTAATATGCGCTAATAGCTTTATATTTTATTGACCGCTTCTGCTAATATCACATGAATATTTTTCAGAGTTTCATCACTAGTGTGGGAAGCAGAGATCGCAGAATGCGCTTAGCTCTGGAGCATATGTGTGCTCCGATCGTCCATGGCGCGCTCACCATGCTGCTTGCAGTGGCGATGCTTGCCTTCTCCGAATTTGACTTTATAGTCAAATATTTCTTCTTCATACCATTATGCGTAATCGGCGTCGGCCTCGTAAATGGTATTTTCTTCTTCCCGATTCTGCTGTCTCTAATTGGCCCATCAGCGGAAGTGATCCCGAACGATTATCCGGATCGTATATCTACGCCGACACCGCCGGCATCACCAATTGTGAGAAGATCTAAGCCTCCCGCACCGCCAAGGAGGTCTCATAAAATCGAGAACGCTAGGTTGCATGCCGAGCCGTCACTCACAACCATCACAGAGGAACCTAACTCGTGGCACAGCACACAGGAGTCTTGCATCATTGTCCAACCGGAACTCAAGGTGGAAACCACATCCACGTGCGGCAACCAGGTACGTCAAAAAATTGTTCTAATAATAGACTTGCGATAAATCAATCAGCATGGAGGCGTATCTCACCTAATAAAGTGTAATATCGCGCATCCTCTCCGAGCATGACTAACGAGCGTGTTCTCCTGTCACTTTGACTAACAGAACTGTAGCGGATCGGACACGAGCGGGTCTAGTCGAACGTCACCGATTCCGTCCACTCCACACATTACCACCAAGGTCACCGCAACGGCGAACATCAAAGTCGAGGTTCATACACCGTTAACCAGTGAGTATAAATAATTTAAAAAATTCTCTAATGTTTAAAAATGCCGCTTGAGGTTTTACCCGAGATTTAAACTAACTTGAAATGCTTTTTTTTACTAACACAATTGTGATCGAGTACTACTGGAATTCGCTTTTGAATAAGCTCGATCTGATTTCTTTTTCATGAGATCGATAATTCTAACTTTTCAGAAAAGTTTTATTTTGAAAATTAGAATAAATTCGCGCATTGCTAAAATATATAACATTGCAAAACTCTAAAAGAGAATTCATAAAACTATGTAATGTATATTTTTTTCTGATTTTTTATATAAATACCGCTCTACTTTCTCATAATAAGTCTTTACGTATTAATCCTCATTTTTTCGTTATTATAATAATAGTTTTGCAAGTTATGCAATTTAATGTCATGATAAAATATGCTTACCTCTGTCAACATTATTATAGGCGGAGTGGATCGTAGTGAAAAATGCCGGCACACTAGCACCGGTAGTCGAAGGAGCTCGCGCTGCAGTGCGAACGTTAATGCTGGGGAGTCTTCCGGCTCCAGTTCTGAGCCGGATTCAGACTTTAACCCAAAACATTGATAACAAGAACCGAGGGGACCAGCAGCTGCTGCTCAAGTACCACGCAAAGCGGGAAAACACAGAAGGCTGACTAGTATAGATTAATAAATTTTTCATCTTCTCTTCCTCTTTCCTTTCTCCTATCTCGGCCCTTTATCCGTTTCTTTTTCTTTCTTTCTTTCTCTCTCTCTCTCTTTCTCAAATGAGTAATACAACAGCATAGTTGTTTTACTCAAATATTAGAAACGAAAGTATTACAACGCACACACAATTGTATTTTTACAATGTATGTAAGTACTTTTTGCAAAAAAACATTAATATCGCATGTTTAATACTTTTTATACCGAATTTTAAAGTGACAGACACCTATAGGAAATATAAGAAACAAAATTGTATTTATACAATTATATACAATATAATATAATACAATTACAATATAATAGAATTTAATTAGAGTTTTTAAGATCAGGATCCATATTTATATTTTATACACATATTATAAATATACAAATTGCGCTCTCTATAACGGTTTTTTAAGCAAATTACTAAAGTTTTTAATCATGAGAAAAACCATAGACATAGACATATACACACACACACAAACATATATATATATACAATATAAATCGGGTATTGATGATATAACCTGAAGAATAGAGCAGGAAAAATTAGAAAAAATTCCATCTCTTTTTCTGACGAAAGATTGCACAGGCATAAATGAAAAAAAAAAAAATACTTTTTTGATTCTTCAGCTATCTCTCATTTTCTCTCCTTTTTATCTCTTCCTCCAGCAAAGTTGAATGTAGAACTTCTGCTCGGTCTATATGTACTATGTCTATGTATCTATGCGCAAAATTAATTTTTAAGCAAAATGAAATGAAATGGCATGTTATTTGAATATTTCAACAGCGTATTAAATATGTGATAGTATTATCAATGACAATAATGCGCGCGTACAACTTTAATAAGTAAATTTACTAGACTATTTTAGTTAAATTTATTTAATTAATGACTTGCGCACTGCGAGACAAGAGAATGGTTTGGATCATATACTATCAACAAAGACATAAAGACATTGAATGATTTATTTTTTATAGATAGTATATGATAGTATCTATTTTGTCTCTATTTAGTAAATGAAAGGCACCAATGTGTGGTAATATTTACAAAATATATACTTAACTGGGAGAGAGCACTTATTTAGTTGTATATACCTGTGTTATTACAGGTATCTTTAATTAGAAAAATTAAAGATTTACCGCCGCTAGGATATGCGATGTTCTTCAAATGTAATTGCGAAATATTTTTAGAAGAGAAATGCCTTTTTTATGGGTGCGACGGAACTTTCCGATATTATTATTTATTTTTTCGATGTTAATGAGAAATACATACATATATACATATATACATACATATTTATATATGTATGTATGTATGTATGAGGATGTGTATGTATGTGTATGTATATGTATACGTAATGCGCAATGTGTATGTGACTACGAGCGATATACCGAATCTCTGTGTGTGAGACCTATTTATTATTTATTTTTATAATAATAATATTCCTCGGTGTTTTTCGCACGCGGATATGCGTGTGCGAAGCGGTGCTTGTACGATTTCGCGCACGAATCTGATGTTGACTTGTAAAAATACTTTTATTTATGTCTTATATAAGTGAGAATAGAACAACACACGTTGCGTACGCGGCGTACAATGACGGTACTTAATTTAATAGAGTATCCTATTCCTATTCTGATTCATACCTCTGATGTGTTGTGTATAAATCTGTGTAATATATATATATATATATATATATATATATATATATATATATATATATATATATATATATATATATATATATATATATATATATATATATATATATATATATATATATATATATATATATATATATATATATATATATATATATATATATATATATATATATATATATATATATATATATATATATATATATTACACAGATTTATACACAACACATCAGAGGTATGAATCAGAATAGGAATAGGATACTCTATTAAATTAAGTACCGTCATTGTACGCCGCGTACGCAACGTGTGTTGTTCTATTCTCACTTATATAAGACATAAATAAAAGTATTTTTACAAGTCAACATCAGATTCGTGCGCGAAATCGTACAAGCACCGCTTCGCACACGCATATCCGCGTGCGAAAAACACCGAGGAATATTATTATTATAAAAATAAATAATAAATAGGTCTCACACACAGAGATTCGGTATATCGCTCGTAGTCACATACACATTGCGCATTACGTATACATATACATACACATACATACACATCCTCATACATACATACATACATATATAAATATGTATGTATATATGTATATATGTATGTATTTCTCATTAACATCGAAAAAATAAATAATAATATCGGAAAGTTCCGTCGCACCCATAAAAAAGGCATTTCTCTTCTAAAAATATTTCGCAATTACATTTGAAGAACATCGCATATCCTAGCGGCGGTAAATCTTTAATTTTTCTAATTAAAGATACCTGTAATAACACAGGTATATACAACTAAATAAGTGCTCTCTCCCAGTTAAGTATATATTTTGTAAATATTACCACACATTGGTGCCTTTCATTTACTAAATAGAGACAAAATAGATACTATCATATACTATCTATAAAAAATAAATCATTCAATGTCTTTATGTCTTTGTTGATAGTATATGATCCAAACCATTCTCTTGTCTCGCAGTGCGCAAGTCATTAATTAAATAAATTTAACTAAAATAGTCTAGTAAATTTACTTATTAAAGTTGTACGCGCGCATTATTGTCATTGATAATACTATCACATATTTAATACGCTGTTGAAATATTCAAATAACATGCCATTTCATTTCATTTTGCTTAAAAATTAATTTTGCGCATAGATACATAGACATAGTACATATAGACCGAGCAGAAGTTCTACATTCAACTTTGCTGGAGGAAGAGATAAAAAGGAGAGAAAATGAGAGATAGCTGAAGAATCAAAAAAGTATTTTTTTTTTTTCATTTATGCCTGTGCAATCTTTCGTCAGAAAAAGAGATGGAATTTTTTCTAATTTTTCCTGCTCTATTCTTCAGGTTATATCATCAATACCCGATTTATATTGTATATATATATATGTTTGTGTGTGTGTGTATATGTCTATGTCTATGGTTTTTCTCATGATTAAAAACTTTAGTAATTTGCTTAAAAAACCGTTATAGAGAGCGCAATTTGTATATTTATAATATGTGTATAAAATATAAATATGGATCCTGATCTTAAAAACTCTAATTAAATTCTATTATATTGTAATTGTATTATATTATATTGTATATAATTGTATAAATACAATTTTGTTTCTTATATTTCCTATAGGTGTCTGTCACTTTAAAATTCGGTATAAAAAGTATTAAACATGCGATATTAATGTTTTTTTGCAAAAAGTACTTACATACATTGTAAAAATACAATTGTGTGTGCGTTGTAATACTTTCGTTTCTAATATTTGAGTAAAACAACTATGCTGTTGTATTACTCATTTGAGAAAGAGAGAGAGAGAGAAAGAAAGAAAGAAAAAGAAACGGATAAAGGGCCGAGATAGGAGAAAGGAAAGAGGAAGAGAAGATGAAAAATTTATTAATCTATACTAGTCAGCCTTCTGTGTTTTCCCGCTTTGCGTGGTACTTGAGCAGCAGCTGCTGGTCCCCTCGGTTCTTGTTATCAATGTTTTGGGTTAAAGTCTGAATCCGGCTCAGAACTGGAGCCGGAAGACTCCCCAGCATTAACGTTCGCACTGCAGCGCGAGCTCCTTCGACTACCGGTGCTAGTGTGCCGGCATTTTTCACTACGATCCACTCCGCCTATAATAATGTTGACAGAGGTAAGCATATTTTATCATGACATTAAATTGCATAACTTGCAAAACTATTATTATAATAACGAAAAAATGAGGATTAATACGTAAAGACTTATTATGAGAAAGTAGAGCGGTATTTATATAAAAAATCAGAAAAAAATATACATTACATAGTTTTATGAATTCTCTTTTAGAGTTTTGCAATGTTATATATTTTAGCAATGCGCGAATTTATTCTAATTTTCAAAATAAAACTTTTCTGAAAAGTTAGAATTATCGATCTCATGAAAAAGAAATCAGATCGAGCTTATTCAAAAGCGAATTCCAGTAGTACTCGATCACAATTGTGTTAGTAAAAAAAAGCATTTCAAGTTAGTTTAAATCTCGGGTAAAACCTCAAGCGGCATTTTTAAACATTAGAGAATTTTTTAAATTATTTATACTCACTGGTTAACGGTGTATGAACCTCGACTTTGATGTTCGCCGTTGCGGTGACCTTGGTGGTAATGTGTGGAGTGGACGGAATCGGTGACGTTCGACTAGACCCGCTCGTGTCCGATCCGCTACAGTTCTGTTAGTCAAAGTGACAGGAGAACACGCTCGTTAGTCATGCTCGGAGAGGATGCGCGATATTACACTTTATTAGGTGAGATACGCCTCCATGCTGATTGATTTATCGCAAGTCTATTATTAGAACAATTTTTTGACGTACCTGGTTGCCGCACGTGGATGTGGTTTCCACCTTGAGTTCCGGTTGGACAATGATGCAAGACTCCTGTGTGCTGTGCCACGAGTTAGGTTCCTCTGTGATGGTTGTGAGTGACGGCTCGGCATGCAACCTAGCGTTCTCGATTTTATGAGACCTCCTTGGCGGTGCGGGAGGCTTAGATCTTCTCACAATTGGTGATGCCGGCGGTGTCGGCGTAGATATACGATCCGGATAATCGTTCGGGATCACTTCCGCTGATGGGCCAATTAGAGACAGCAGAATCGGGAAGAAGAAAATACCATTTACGAGGCCGACGCCGATTACGCATAATGGTATGAAGAAGAAATATTTGACTATAAAGTCAAATTCGGAGAAGGCAAGCATCGCCACTGCAAGCAGCATGGTGAGCGCGCCATGGACGATCGGAGCACACATATGCTCCAGAGCTAAGCGCATTCTGCGATCTCTGCTTCCCACACTAGTGATGAAACTCTGAAAAATATTCATGTGATATTAGCAGAAGCGGTCAATAAAATATAAAGCTATTAGCGCATATTAACTAATGTGATCGTTGAAATAACGATCGCAAAGATGTCTAAATGCGTTGAGTTATATTTTCGAATTTGCGTGCCTTCTACAACTATCTGAGTGCCTGGGCATCTAACGACGCGCTTGCCTATGGTGCCTCGCAGGCGAATCTGCGACCCGAACCGCGTCAGTGGATCTATACCAACGACCATGAGCTGAAAATCCCAAAGAGCATGCCGCTCACTTATGCGCAGATGCCATTCAATCTTCATAAGCTCACCGATACGCAGCAGATCACAGAATTGATCGGTAGCATTCGGAAACTATGCAAAAGATTCGAGGAGCGCGGCCTGCCGAATTTCCCATCCGGCATACCGTTTCTCTTCTGGGAACAATACATGGATCTGAGGAGCTGCTTGGGAATCGCTCTTCTGGCCGCTTTGAGCGCAAGCATCATCATCGTTGGGGTGCTGTTGTTGAATATGTGGGCCACCCTGCTGGTCGGCATTTCCTTAGGTGCCGTCGTTCTGCAATTATTAGGCATCATGGGTCTATTTGACATCAAACTGAGTGCTGTACCTGCCGTACTGCTGGTAATCAGCGTCGGCATAGCTGTTCACTTTACGGTGCACATTTGCCTGGTAAGTGCAATTTAAAATAAATTTCTTCGTTTAGTGTTATTTTTTAAGCTTAACTTTATGCTCCTCTTTCTAATTCCTCATTTCGATCATATTGAATTATGACATCAAAAGCGAGAAATCACATGTTTTTTTTTCAAAATTCGAAAATATAACTCAACGCATTTAGACATCTTTGCGATCGTTATTTCAACGATCACATTAGTTAATATGCGCTAATAGCTTTATATTTTATTGACCGCTTCTGCTAATATCACATGAATATTTTTCAGAGTTTCATCACTAGTGTGGGAAGCAGAGATCGCAGAATGCGCTTAGCTCTGGAGCATATGTGTGCTCCGATCGTCCATGGCGCGCTCACCATGCTGCTTGCAGTGGCGATGCTTGCCTTCTCCGAATTTGACTTTATAGTCAAATATTTCTTCTTCATACCATTATGCGTAATCGGCGTCGGCCTCGTAAATGGTATTTTCTTCTTCCCGATTCTGCTGTCTCTAATTGGCCCATCAGCGGAAGTGATCCCGAACGATTATCCGGATCGTATATCTACGCCGACACCGCCGGCATCACCAATTGTGAGAAGATCTAAGCCTCCCGCACCGCCAAGGAGGTCTCATAAAATCGAGAACGCTAGGTTGCATGCCGAGCCGTCACTCACAACCATCACAGAGGAACCTAACTCGTGGCACAGCACACAGGAGTCTTGCATCATTGTCCAACCGGAACTCAAGGTGGAAACCACATCCACGTGCGGCAACCAGGTACGTCAAAAAATTGTTCTAATAATAGACTTGCGATAAATCAATCAGCATGGAGGCGTATCTCACCTAATAAAGTGTAATATCGCGCATCCTCTCCGAGCATGACTAACGAGCGTGTTCTCCTGTCACTTTGACTAACAGAACTGTAGCGGATCGGACACGAGCGGGTCTAGTCGAACGTCACCGATTCCGTCCACTCCACACATTACCACCAAGGTCACCGCAACGGCGAACATCAAAGTCGAGGTTCATACACCGTTAACCAGTGAGTATAAATAATTTAAAAAATTCTCTAATGTTTAAAAATGCCGCTTGAGGTTTTACCCGAGATTTAAACTAACTTGAAATGCTTTTTTTTACTAACACAATTGTGATCGAGTACTACTGGAATTCGCTTTTGAATAAGCTCGATCTGATTTCTTTTTCATGAGATCGATAATTCTAACTTTTCAGAAAAGTTTTATTTTGAAAATTAGAATAAATTCGCGCATTGCTAAAATATATAACATTGCAAAACTCTAAAAGAGAATTCATAAAACTATGTAATGTATATTTTTTTCTGATTTTTTATATAAATACCGCTCTACTTTCTCATAATAAGTCTTTACGTATTAATCCTCATTTTTTCGTTATTATAATAATAGTTTTGCAAGTTATGCAATTTAATGTCATGATAAAATATGCTTACCTCTGTCAACATTATTATAGGCGGAGTGGATCGTAGTGAAAAATGCCGGCACACTAGCACCGGTAGTCGAAGGAGCTCGCGCTGCAGTGCGAACGTTAATGCTGGGGAGTCTTCCGGCTCCAGTTCTGAGCCGGATTCAGACTTTAACCCAAAACATTGATAACAAGAACCGAGGGGACCAGCAGCTGCTGCTCAAGTACCACGCAAAGCGGGAAAACACAGAAGGCTGACTAGTATAGATTAATAAATTTTTCATCTTCTCTTCCTCTTTCCTTTCTCCTATCTCGGCCCTTTATCCGTTTCTTTTTCTTTCTTTCTTTCTCTCTCTCTCTCTTTCTCAAATGAGTAATACAACAGCATAGTTGTTTTACTCAAATATTAGAAACGAAAGTATTACAACGCACACACAATTGTATTTTTACAATGTATGTAAGTACTTTTTGCAAAAAAACATTAATATCGCATGTTTAATACTTTTTATACCGAATTTTAAAGTGACAGACACCTATAGGAAATATAAGAAACAAAATTGTATTTATACAATTATATACAATATAATATAATACAATTACAATATAATAGAATTTAATTAGAGTTTTTAAGATCAGGATCCATATTTATATTTTATACACATATTATAAATATACAAATTGCGCTCTCTATAACGGTTTTTTAAGCAAATTACTAAAGTTTTTAATCATGAGAAAAACCATAGACATAGACATATACACACACACACAAACATATATATATATACAATATAAATCGGGTATTGATGATATAACCTGAAGAATAGAGCAGGAAAAATTAGAAAAAATTCCATCTCTTTTTCTGACGAAAGATTGCACAGGCATAAATGAAAAAAAAAAAATACTTTTTTGATTCTTCAGCTATCTCTCATTTTCTCTCCTTTTTATCTCTTCCTCCAGCAAAGTTGAATGTAGAACTTCTGCTCGGTCTATATGTACTATGTCTATGTATCTATGCGCAAAATTAATTTTTAAGCAAAATGAAATGAAATGGCATGTTATTTGAATATTTCAACAGCGTATTAAATATGTGATAGTATTATCAATGACAATAATGCGCGCGTACAACTTTAATAAGTAAATTTACTAGACTATTTTAGTTAAATTTATTTAATTAATGACTTGCGCACTGCGAGACAAGAGAATGGTTTGGATCATATACTATCAACAAAGACATAAAGACATTGAATGATTTATTTTTTATAGATAGTATATGATAGTATCTATTTTGTCTCTATTTAGTAAATGAAAGGCACCAATGTGTGGTAATATTTACAAAATATATACTTAACTGGGAGAGAGCACTTATTTAGTTGTATATACCTGTGTTATTACAGGTATCTTTAATTAGAAAAATTAAAGATTTACCGCCGCTAGGATATGCGATGTTCTTCAAATGTAATTGCGAAATATTTTTAGAAGAGAAATGCCTTTTTTATGGGTGCGACGGAACTTTCCGATATTATTATTTATTTTTTCGATGTTAATGAGAAATACATACATATATACATATATACATACATATTTATATATGTATGTATGTATGTATGAGGATGTGTATGTATGTGTATGTATATGTATACGTAATGCGCAATGTGTATGTGACTACGAGCGATATACCGAATCTCTGTGTGTGAGACCTATTTATTATTTATTTTTATAATAATAATATTCCTCGGTGTTTTTCGCACGCGGATATGCGTGTGCGAAGCGGTGCTTGTACGATTTCGCGCACGAATCTGATGTTGACTTGTAAAAATACTTTTATTTATGTCTTATATAAGTGAGAATAGAACAACACACGTTGCGTACGCGGCGTACAATGACGGTACTTAATTTAATAGAGTATCCTATTCCTATTCTGATTCATACCTCTGATGTGTTGTGTATAAATCTGTGTAATATATATATATATATATATATATATATATATTTACATATATATATATATAGTACCAGTGACCAATAGTCACGCATACATGCGAAACGCGTCGTCACGTAAGGTGTGACACGCGCGAAATTATGTACAATATATTAAGCGAGAAGTATTTCTTTAAGTCAAGTCAATTTTTGTATACATATGCGAGTACTCGAGATGCGTATTTAAAGCGGCCTGCGAGACGGCTTTTATATACTTTGTATAAAGTTGTATTCTATAAGTTTGCGGAAGGGAAAAAAATAGTCAATATACCTCTAATATACGTATAAATTGCACCATGACTATTACTACAAACATAGTAAGGATCTAATTATTTTTGATGTAACGAATTTTTTTTGTAACAGCGACCCTCTACTTGTATGATTTATAATCCAATTTTTGTAAATACAATAACATTGTAAGAAAAATCTTTGTACATTTTTACTGTCGTCACAATATCTGCTAATATTAAGATATGAAATTACAAATATTTTGTTTTACTGTGGAACTCGTACATACACACACACACACACACACACACTCATACATACCTTAAAAATGTTCAAACTGTATTAAAAAACATGTTGGCTTTCACTTCTCATAAACTTACTAAAAGTTTCATCAAGATAAATATCTTTTATCTTTGGAACTAATTATATACATGTTACAAATTAATTATAAAAATAACATTTTTATTTCAATATTTTGGAATTTTTAATGAAGGAAGCTCGATTTTGTCAAGAATTTGTTATAAAAAAAGGATACTTTTGTATAAATTACAAAAATATATAAATAGTGTTTCATCGATTTGTACTCATTTTTTAAAAATCTATTATTTTAAATATTACGATAGAGAAAGAAAAGCTTAAATAAATCTATTTTGATACGTATTTCTTGAGAAACTCTGGAAAGAAAGGTAAGATTTCTCTGAAATCGCTGTCTGTATTGCAATTTCTCGGACAAATGCAGTACCTGAAATGACTGGAATTTAAAAGCACGCGCCGGAAGTTGCGCCATCTGTACTGCGAACGACTCGGCTCGTTGATCGACTTCCGTCCTGATCGGTTTACGCAACAGATCAAGACGGACGGTATCGAAGAGGAAGAAATTTTTGTCGGACGAAGAGAAAATCCTCGAGCGAAAGGATGTTGCGCGTCGTAGCGTCACGCGTGGCTTCGGCGATGGTGCCCCGAGTAACGGCCACAAGCCTCGTCGGTGTGCAGAGCACCAGGGCATCCCACGGTTCCAGGGAGTCCGATGAGGAGTTCGATCAGCGATATGTCAACTTCTTCAGCCGCAACGACATCGATCACTGGGAAATTCGAAAGGCCATGAATGATCTGGCTGGTGAGCTCGTGTCATCGATTAACGTTCCTTCGGTCAATGAAATCGGCCAAAATGACATTTCTCTAATTATATATGAATTAATTGAGACTTGATACTTAGTCTGCTTTTGTCGTGACAAAAATACTAGAAATGAATGAAAAGACGTCAATTCCTTTTAATTGCACTACGTTATACTTCTTAAGTGGAATCAGCAATAAATGTCTTTTAAACAGCTTCTTTTTGATCGATTCCAAAACTGTTCTTCCTTAGATTAAAGGGAGATCATCATTCATTGTACTTTTTCATTAAGTTTTAAATTAAAGTGCAGTTAAAATTCATTTTGAGTTGCTTGAAGAATATGACTTTCATCTATTTTCCTCCAAGTTTTATTTTGCTATAAGCTCTTTATTTTCAATCATAAATTATATCTAAAACTTTGACCATTTTTATTGAAAAATAGATTTATTCTAAATTGATCAATCAATTCATGTTACCAAATTTGCTTATGATTATTGAAATACCTAATTTAGAAGAAGAAATAGAAAAGATAAAAGTTTAAAGAAACATAGAAAGTGCAGCTACAATAGAAAGAACAAAATTATCAGTAACAAATCGCCATCCTTAATTATCCATATCATGAAATATAAGGGTGTTTATATTTTTATACTGTCTCGGTCTCTTGTTAATATATACAGATTGTAAAATGTGTGCTAATAATTATATATTTGATTTAGGTATGGATAATGTGCCAGAACCAGTCATTATATGCGCAGCATTGAAAGCTTGCAGAAGATTAAATGACTTTGCGCTCGCCGTAAGATTCCTAGAATCTGTAAAAGATAAAGCTGGACCACATGCCGACAAGGTTTATCCTTACATTCTTCAAGAGATCAGACCCGTTTTGGACGAACTAGGCATCAGCACGCCCGAGGAGCTAGGTTACGACAAGCCGGAATTAGCCTGCGAATCAGAATACCATATGTAACAGGTTAAAAATTATATTATAAATATTAGTATTTATATGTTCTCTTAGCTGCTGCTTCAGGTGCATATGATAAAGAATAATTATCAGCAAGACAGAACTTTCCATGTATCTGCATTATCAGCAGCATTGTTGAATAAAAAACACGATTGTCATAATTAATGTCTATCGTTCATTAAAAATTAAACGTAATTAATAATATTATACATGGAACTTGTCAGAATTTAATTTAAGACTTAGTTGCAAAAATATATGATAATATTAAAAACATTTAACATTTGCAACAAATAGTGATCATCTCTATTTTTGGTAAGGAAAAATCTGTTCCAAATTGCTTCAAGAAATTGTTGTTCAAATCACAAATTTCGAGACGTTTTATGGATTATTTAAAGATTGTCGGAATCGCCTTTTCTTTCCGGACGTCACATATGTTGCATTGTAAACGCGATTCAGTTGTATACAATTGTATTGGCCAATATTATTCATTAATCTCAATGTCAAGTAATTAATTTGGAGGCAAAATTGAAATGATGATACGATAACATATTTATAAATTATATGACATGGAGATTGGGATAATACAGCAGAAAAGAGTCATGTACACATACGTCTATAATTATCTAAAGTCGTAATACATATTTTTTTTGTTTCTTGAATGACATTTAACTTAATTTATGCTCCGTGTGTGCTTTGTTACAAACAACAGAGGGAAAATATAACATGTTTATCTTACATATACATGGATACTGATATATTACATCATTAATGTAGTGGCCTTGAATCTTAAAAAAACAACGCAACAATTAGTATCTAGTCATTATGATACGTTTTTAATATAGTATTTATCTCTAATCTCAACTCTATTTCTTCCTATAATGTTATAAAAATCTCTTTGGTATTATTACACACGATTTTGAGGGCAGTTTGTTGTTTCAATGTTACGATCTTTAAGATAAATGGTCATTATGTAGTTTCCCAACTCAATTTACAATTTACACAATCAACATATACAATACATATTTATATAATGTATGTTATATACAACGGAAAAAAGTGGAATAGTAAAAAGAGTATAAAAAAGTATATACCATAATAGAGGAAACAAAATTATTACAAAAAGAGATGATTCTAACTTTTGTCACCGCAACATTGAAACAAGATTGCACGCAAAAAATACACCTTTCATCGCTTTAGATACATTATATAAAAATGGATTGATGATTTAAATACCATATGTGACACAGTCCGACTATTTAATGTAAAATAGAATCCTTACTTTTGATTACCTTCAAATGGATCGAAGGATAATATATATGTATATGAATCCTGGTTTTTACAATCGCGTATTCTGTTTTAGAAAATTAGTACATACATACACGTTTGATCGTAGTTTCGATAATTTTCAAGAGATTGACATTAAAATAATCCTTCATAGAAATATAATTTACTACCTTTTTCTTTTATCGCGTTGATAAAAATCATACGATTTTACGATTGCCCTTATCGATTACGCTAATCAAAGCGAGTAGTAGTAGTAATAGTAAGTGGTGCAATATAAGATTCTTGTAAAATAAGATTATGGACACACGCTTCTCGCGTTGGTGCGTATTGAAATTTCAAATCCATTAATATCCTGATTTTTTGTTTTTTTGTTTTTTTTTTTTTTTTTTTTTTGGAAAAAATCGATTACGCAGCCTCTGCGAGAGCGGATAATGTAATTTATAATTCATTGCGCGAAACGAAAATGATAAGGGGACCAAACCTGTCTCTCTCGGCTCCGCTAGTTCTTCGCTAATTCCTCATGAAACCAACGTCCTTACATCGACTGGCACTTGAAATGCAAATTCACAGGTATATTTTGTATAGATATATTACAAGAAGAAGAGCGAGCACTTTTCGTCGAGTGAAAAACTGATGCGTATGCCCCCGGGAAAATGCTCGCCGTTTGGTTTTTCTTTCGGTGGGGCCGCGAAAATTAAACGAGACAAGATAAGACGATACGCGCGCGACAAGGTTTTTCGTGCAGGGCGAGATCGCGGCGTCCGGTCCGGCCAGAAGACTGCGCGATGGAAGTGGAAAAGCTACCAGCAGGAGCGTTGTGCTCTGACCACCATCGTCTGGTTGAGAGCTTTCTACGACCGACGACAAGGCGGAGAGGGAGTCGAGCGGCACATTGGCGTCTTTGGGGCCCGATCCGAGCATTGGCGTAATCTTGTCGGAGACTTGAGGCCCCAGGTCGCGTGAGAGAAAGGCACGCGCGCGGCGAATAGGCACAGCACGTAGAGAGACAGACACCTGCGTCGCCACCTGACAGAACGAGAAGAACACACAGACATATCACCCGCACCCACACATACACATCCGGAAAGCGGGCTTGATATCGAATTGGTAAGGTCATTGCTGCGTGCGACGGTGATATTTGCTCTCGCATTGCGGCGATAGGATTAATCTCCGACTCTGCTTTGCAACAAACTGCTCTGACGTATAATTACGATGGGCATGACATATATATGTGGATGATTATAGCCGTGATTGTTTGATTTCTATTTTTTTTCGAGAAAACATACATCTTACATCCTATTTGTACCCGTCAGAAATGCTTAACTTTTTTTTTCATTATCTCTACTATCGATTCTTTATGTATATATTACATATACAGGAGCTGTTTTCATTTATCTTGACCATCTGGCACCCTCATTGCTTTTAACACGGTGCGAAAATTTTTTCGCACCATTTACAGAAAAGCAACAGATGTACTCCAAGCGTTCGAGATAAATAAAATTCTGTATATTGTTACATAACTCTGCGATAGAAAAAGAAAATGATCGGAATTTTCTGATGATCATACAATTCAAACACATGTTACAGTTCGAAATATATCTCGAACTCAATTATCTCCAACTACTCAAACAAAGTGATCACGCGATTCGTTCAATCTGTGTCTGATCGCAATTTTTTCGTTCACTTGTAAACATAGATTCGATGTTCATAGACAATCAATTTTTTTGAAATCGAATTGCGTGATTTTTCTCGTTTATTTAGACATAACAAATATTTGTAAATTAAAAAAGCTTCATGCCTTTGTTAAATTTTGAAGTCAATTATTTTGTGCTAATGTGAAAATCGAAGAAAAGAAAAACTAAACAAATTTTCTTTACTGCGCTATTATGGAAGCGGAGGAGCTTTCATGCTTGCCATGGTATAATTATCGAAAACAATTAAAAATATGTCTTTGGCGTGTATATCAACCTGATTCTAAGACTAGACGAAATTATATGCTTGCGCAATACCGGAAAGCACGTTTGATGACTTTCGGTAGAAAAAACAATGAAAGATAGATAATGTCGCAAATTATTCGCGAAAACAGAGATAGGGCATTCGCCCAGTGCGATGCGATAGACTTCTTTGAAAATTAATACTACATCTGAAAAATTGAATTGCAAGTGACCCTCAAGCATTTACGATGAATCTCGAGTACAAATACTCTAGACTAATCTTAATCAATATTACGCACTTGTCCATTCTCACTTTCGGATATAATCGCTGTACGCAGTCAGAGCAAGACACACTACACAAGTACAGTGACTCAAAGAGAAAAAAAGAACACAACACCAATCCATTACTAATTCTCTCACACTTTTATCTTTCTTCCCCGTGTATCACCGTGGTACGCGCGCATACGTGCGCGGGTGATATGGAGCGATTTCGGATTAACTAGATTACACTTAAAACACAAGTTTATTCCGGGCTAGATACAGTTTGTTGTTGTTGACTATCCTCGTCCTTAACAACCTCGGCTTGCATAGCCTTCGTCAAAACATTGGCATCCTTCAACGATATTACTTGAAGGACTTGATGCTCTCCGGCGGCGTTTATCATAGTCATAGGATGGCCCTGTATAGTGACGGCCTCAATGGTGGTGTCGCCGTTACCTGGCTCTACCTTGGGTACCTGTACCATCGGCGTTACCACTTGCATCGTTCCGTCGCTTTGAATATTGGCCACCATAGTTTGATACATACTGGCGGACACTGGCACAGTGATCACTCCCGAGACTGAGACAGGATATCCTGAAACAAACACGCAGTTAACGTTCGCGTACTATCCGTGATCTGGAGCGTGCAGTGATTTATATTGCACAAACTGTAAAAGAGAATATAAAGAGAAAATGATAAACAAGTATCTCAATTATACTCACAATGCGACAACGTCAAGAAGCTGTTTGCAAAGCACTAAAATCGAACCAACGATTGAATCTGTGCGTGATTAAAAATCGTGTTCGCACTACGAATTTTTTATATTCGGAACAATTTTAGTATCTATAGTAACAATTAAACTACTACTTCATTTTATACAATCGAACATGTATTATTTTAACCCTTAATTGATACATCCTATCTTTTTTCTTTAACTGATCTTGTCCATCTCTTTTATTGTGGTCATTTTATTTGCAAAAAGAAAAAAATATTAAAACGGAATTACTTATACCGCTATCGAGATGGGAATATAGATGATATTATAGGTTTTACAGATTAGAGGATAAGGGAAATGACAGTCTACTATGTATCAGTTAAGAGTTGAAACTTGAAAAAAAATCATAGAAGCAGAATCATATATATTGCGTATATATCGAACAATTTGAAGACGCAAAAATAATACCATTTAATTAATGTGGCATGTGTTAAAAGAGAGAAACAGATTTAATATTGGATATTTGATTTAATGCTATAATCTGATAATTCCCTCTTTGCCACATCCTTTTAACTTATATCATAATAAAGAAACACAGTTAACGCTCTATCTAAGAAAACTAAGACGTTTATAAGGGGCAGCGTAAGTGTTTAAGCTGTTTGCAAAAAAAAACTTAAAATTTCAGGTGTCGCATGAGAAATTTCGTAAAGCACATAAATGCCAGCACGACAGACACATTATTTATTACAAGCAACTTAAACACAGAGACTGCTAAGATGTATAAAAAATAATAAAACATCAACAAAAAATACTCTATGTACAGCAAGTTTATTTTTCTTCATTTAATTGAAGTCGGTAAACCAATCTTCAGTGATAATGATAAATATAATAGTCGTAGAACAGTTTCTTCCGTTATCGTGGCATCTTTTAGTCTTTCATTTTTAGCCATTTATTAAGTTGAAAATTTTAAGAATCCAATAGCGAGAGATATGTGTTTTCTTTAAGTGATTATCTGCAAATCATATTTTTTTTTTTTTTACTTGAGTCATTATTAAACTTTCTGCAGGAGAGTTCTTTGACATATGTAGCTACTATAAGAATAATTTCTTTTATGTACAAATGTGTGTTATACATGCATTATGTGTAATATATACAGAGTGGCCCATTTTATATAGTGCATTGATATTTTTCGAAAATCAAGACTTTCATCAAAAAATGTTTCGTACAAAAGTTTTGTGATTTTGAGGAGGATATAAAATGATGCTATTGGTTTGATCTTGGATGAAGGTCATAAGATTATTTCAAGGTTATCTTAATTTTTTAAATGGAACTACTCTAATTTGTTTATATAAAAAATGAAGATGACCTTGAAAAAATCTTCATCCAAGATCAAACTAAAGGCATCATTTTATATCTCCCTTAAAATCACAAAACTTTTGTATGAAACATTTTTCAATGGAAGTCTTGGTTTTCGAAAAATATCAATGCGTCATTTAAAATGGGCCACACTATATACATATATATATACACAAGAAAAACTTAATATATCTACATGCATATTACATATAAATAAATGCTATTCTTTTAAAATTGAGAAAATTCAAAATAAAGTAGCATAAAATAGTGCATAAACATGTCAAATAAATGACGTAATCTAAATCACATGTCAAAGTGCAGATATCTTTCTTTAATTAATACTTGTATACGGTTACTTCGTGAATCACATATAAACGCGCTTTTTGGATTCTTAAAGAACAAGATTTTAAATAAAGCGCTGTGCATAGCTCCATTTATATAAAATTGCTATGTATATACAATACAAGGCAAATACATAAATTCTATTCCACATTATCCTACTCCGTAATACAAAGTAGTACAACACATATAGACATGATTCCCGATTGGAGCATAGCAGACAGCATGCAAAGTAACAAAAAAAAAAAAAGAAAAAAAAAAGGAAAGAACGCATTACTGCTCGATCATCTCCTGGCCGGCGACGGTGCAGAGCCTATAAAAAACTGTTTTACCGTGTCCATCTTCTCCAGTGAGGATGATTTGACCGTCTTGACCTAATGTCGCTTCTGTAACTGTATTCAGATCAACGGCCACACTAGCACCATCCGTACTACCGGCTACTTCTGCTAATGCTTGCACTTCTCCTTGACTTGTGTGGATCTAAATGCAATCGTAAACGAGACATAATTGTACTTATATATTATGTGTGATTAATAATGCAAAAAAAGATTTTATTCTATTTTTTTTTTAATTATACAACATATCAAGAATGTTATGAATTTTCTTGTTCCTAATCTAATTTTCACAAAAAAATAATTTCCTAAAAAATAATAGAACCCAATAAAATGTATATTTCAAAAACAATTTGGAATGTTTAAAATTATATATTTTATGAGATAAAATATTATATTCATATGCCTGCTATAATTCCATTTTCCTTTATATTATCTGAATTTTGATTTGTATTCTTAGAATGAAGGTAATCTAGAAATAAAAAATTGAGAAGTTCCTTATAAATATCATGTTTAATATTTATATTGATTTCTCGTACTTCCATCTGTATTTGGTTCATATATAGTGGCCTTTACTTATATATATATATATATATCAGACTTTTATATATTTTATCTAGACTGCTAACATAGTTATGTCTCATATGGTGACATATGAAACAAGGACAGCTATTTACAATTGGACGTGTGTGTGTGTGTGTAGTGTATATGTAAGTAAGTGTAAAAATATAAATGTGTATTTAACTCAACTTTTATA